ACTTTGTCTAATCTTTGTGTGTTTTTGTATGCTTAGCCTAATACCTGTCACACAGTAATGATCATTTATTTAGTGTTAGGTGAAATTAGCCTCCATATACAATTCAAGTTAGTGTTTATGTTATACATTTATCTTTCACCAAATAAACTCTCTTCTCATGGTCTTAGAGAACTCTTTTTTTTTTTTTATTTTGGATGTTAGTAATGAAGGAGAATTTATATAGAAATTTTGTTTATTTTTGACTGTCTGAAGTTATAGGCCAACGTGAAAATTATCACATTGGAATTCTAATTCTGATAAAATTCAGTGGTAATCGAGAGATTGTTAAGTAGTGTTACTGTATTTTTCAAACATTATAAGCACTTTTGTGTGTTGCCTTCGGATATGTACCTGTTTGTCAAAATGCTGTCTTGGACTGTTCATTCATTCTGCTATGGCAGGTTGTTTGCCTTTCTATTGCCTGGAACTTTGTACTGCCCCGTTGCCTTAGTTATTTGTGTTCTTCTTTTACAGTACTTTAAGTATATCCTTTTTTTCCAAAAAATGTTTAATAGTACATTTCTATATTACTTCTAAATGTGTTGTTCATTTAGTGGTTCCATATGTAAATGAAAGGGTCTAGATTATTAATGAATCCATCACCTAAAGTTTTTATATATAGTTTGTATCAGCACAATGATGAATGGTATGAATACATTTAAAATATGATTAAGTGATTCATTTAGCACATACCATGCACTTTCCTCTGTATGTTTTTCATTTATTTCCTACAACAACTGACCATGACAATTAAGCCATGTTGCCCAAGAACTCTGCAGTAGCCTCTTAAGGCAGGGATTTGTTTATGAAATGCAGAGTGTCCAGAAATACCAATTAACAACATTCCACAAAAACCCCAACTTTGCGTAAGTGGTATATTTGAAATTGTCATAGCTGCTCATATAATTGCTTTTGCTTGTTACTAGTTTTCAAATACATCTTTTATGAGCATACTACTTACATTTATTTTCTTTGTAGTTTCTTGTAACATTTGTACTAATTTTAATAGTTTCATTAGTTACATTTCAGGAATAAAAGTGTTATTAGACTTCTTAATAGTAACTCTAAGCTAGAGGAGAATGGAATAGTTTCTTAAAAATGATTTTTTTTCATTTTAGAATTCTTCATGTAAACTATCAATCTAGAGGCAAAATAATGACATTTTCAGCCATTCATAATCTTGAAAAATTATTGTATACCTTTCCTGTTGCATGAGCTGTCAATTCTATGGGACATGTTAAAATATGCTGAATTAAAGTGCAGTACCTTCTTGTGTAATAACTAAACTGTTTTATCTCATCAGGCATATTTTGTAGATAAACATAGGGGGCTTAGTTAGAAAGCCCTTGAGGATCCCATCTGAAGGCACTTTTATCTTTATCTGGGCCCAGTGGTATGATGCTGAAGGACAGCATTATAATGGGGTTCTTTATGATTACACAGTCTTTATAATTACTACGCACATTCACATACAAAGTCTGAGGCTTACTTTCTTTAGGGAGAAAGTTTTTTAGATCATCAATTACTACTATACTTGTTTTCTAATCTTCTGTCATAATGAATTTATTATAGTTTTTGGTCATTTTTTTGGCATTAGGAAATAATATCAAATGGGAGTTTGCAGATATCAAAAGAAATTAGAAGGAGAATTAGAGTTTTCTTGCTAAAATTGCATAAATAGCAAAGTTACTGTATTAATTATACTAATTGCATAAAGCATTGGAGATGTAATACACTCTGCCTAATCAAACAGGATGTTGCATTATATAGTTTTTTTTTTATTTTCTTCAAAGATCGTGAAGAGCAGCCTAGCATTATGTAGTTTTGTACCTCAAAAAGTAAGGCATTAAAAAAGAGGTAATGAAAGCTGAATTAATGATTTACCCTGATGTTCATGTTGATTTAAAAGATTACTAGCATGTCTATCTAAGACAAAGCTTTAGGCATAAAGGAAAATTATAAAAAGGCAAATGCTGCTCTAAGATATTTATGCTAGATGGCAGACGCAGTACAGAATGCCTTTATGTTAAATACTTGGTGGTTGACTCTGTAAAGTTTCCTAATTTCTAATTTTTTCATGTTTCCTCCTCTTCCTCCTTTCTCCTCTCCTCTCCCCACAGCATCATGATTACCATGAAATACTTCAAAGTGATTCATCATTACAGAATTTTATTCATTTTCTAGTGTTAAGTTTTGAGAAAACTTACTTCCTTAAGCATTGCATTTTCTTTTTTACTTTTTAAATTTTTTTCCTCTGAAAAATGTATTGAAAAGGCTATTTGTGTCCATGTACTGGGAGGCAAATTATATTTATACCAAAATGCAGAGAGCACTTGCCACCCAAAGTATGTTAACTTTCCTATATATGTTTTTAATGTCACAATGGGAGTAGGGAAAATGGAATTTGGAAAATCAAATTTCAAATGAAAACTTAAATGCATCTATTCAAAAATAGAACCATGGATATTGTAATATTGAGTATGCATATATTTGCTGTTTAAGGGAGGCCAGAGCAGAACAGTTGTGGGCATACATAAGTTTGTTAATCGTCATCTATTTTCTTATGTGAGAGCGAACAGTCGAGGAGGCTCTTAGCTGCCAAATTACTTACTTTTAAGTTCTTTAGGCCCCTTCCAGGTAAAATAATATAACTGTGTCACTATTTTGAAGCTGTGCTGAAATTGTTTTCCCTTATGTTTTGCTAATCCTTCATAGGAGAAGCAAATTAATAGGTGATGTAGCAGCTCTTCTGTTTTAAGAAATCAAATACTTGATTATGTTTTATGGTGTAAAATTTCGATAATGACTACCATGTATAACTTTTCAGATTGATTATCATTAAATTCTGAGCTTTTTATCATAGAAGTGGTATTTCTTTTTCCTGCTAATCTCTGTTGCTGATTTTTCTATGTGTGGATAGTTGTAAAAGCTGTAGTAGAGTTTAATTTTTCAATGAATTATGAAATTTCCAGATTCTGCCATTTCAGTTATGAGGCATCATGAACAAAGTAGTTTTTGGTGGTGATGCAGAGGTTTTTTAAAGCATAGTAAATCTGATTCCTTTATTTCTATTATGGTATTTTTCTTGATTTTTAGTGCCCACAGAATTTATTAAAGGACAAGTATAAATGCCTTTTTCTATATGAAATGTCATTTAAACATGACTCTAAAAATACCCAGAATCTATTTTTTTCTCCTTAAAAATAGTTATGTATGTTGAATAGTATTCTATAAATACATATGTTTACTCTTGCAGTTTTGCCAGTAGCATTTCTAGTTTCCTTTTGCACTGTGCCTTAGAATATTTTAGTCTAATCCCACTACTTCTTTGATCCAGCTAGGGTAATGATCACTCAATCCTAAACTGTTATTCATTTGTATTGAATTTCCTCACTCATTCTAGTGTCCTTACAAAATTAAGGGTAAAATCACTCAGTATTAGCACAGACTTTCCAGGGATAATAATTTCTCCCCCTTTTCAAATAGTGAAATTACAGAAAAGTCCCAGCTATTGGAAGCCACCAAAGTAACTTCCTCAGCATTTTGGTGGCATGAAAGCTAAAACCTGAAAATTTACTCCTTGCCACCAAGACTTGCCAACTTTGGGGAGGTGACTATTTTATTGGTCATAATCACTGAATTTATAATTAAAAATGATAAAAAATAAAGTTAATCCATGGAATATAGAAGAAATGTTTGGGATTTCTTTATAAGGTTACTTTATAATGGAGTTCATCGATCACATGAAATATACAATTAAAAGCAACTCTATTTCTTTTGTAAGTATAATATTATAAAAATAATTGTAATTTCATAAGGAACAGAAACCAAGTCTCTTGTAATAATAAAGAATTATAATTTCCGAGAATAAACTTTCATGTGTGTAAGATGTGCTTCTTAGGGTTTATGGAGTTAGAGTTTCTTTTTATGTTACTTTTCATGGACTTCTTTGAGTTCTACTGTTTACCTCACACGTGCCTGATTGACATTATGATGCATTCGTGTGGAAATTATGAAAAAGTTGTTTTCATGCAGCTGTCCTGTCGTCACAAAAGAACTTCACTGCATGAAAAGCAAACATATCATTCAGCAGACAATGCTTAATCTGTTCAGGAGCCCAAACCTATTGCTGTTCAATGACAGAAGAAAGGAGAGGGATTAATTTGAAGATGCTTGTGCATGACATATGGTAATTTCTCCATAGGAAGGAAGTGTCAAATGGTGACCTCTAAATCTTAACATTGACCTCCAGTTGTAGAATGTGTGTGCCATACGGTCCTTTTGCTTTTTCATATGATAATTTAAGCTGAAACATTTTCCTGGCAACATAACTTTTTTGGGGGGAGGGGAGGGAATTAGTACATCTATTCTATAAGAATTATAAAATTCACAATAATTACTTTTAGTATATAAAGCATTTGTATAATAAAAATATTTTTAAATTTCAGTGAATAAAACAATATAGGATTCTTTTAACAAGAGTGCATGGTATATTTTAAATTGAATTTTTAATAAAATAGTGTGGAAAATTGAAATGATCTCAGTGAATATTGGTTTGTGATATTTAAAAATAATTTACACATAATGTTAGAATAAATTATTAGAAAATGTAATTGACAAAATGAAGACCAACATAAACTTTTTCATTATGAGATACATTTAAAAAATTGACACTCTTGCTAATTTTTAATACGTTATCAGTTTTTCTTTATTGCCTTTGTTGTTTTAGAGCCGTGTTTTGTATTAGTTGACACATCATCTGTCTATAATATTAAATAGATTTTGACTTTAAGAGGAATTTGAATTATACTGTCATTGTTATTCAATAAAATATATCATTTCCCTGCTGTAATCCTTAATGATCATGCCCTTCCGATTAAAACATCATGTTTCAGTTCTGCATTCACTATATTTTGCAAACTTTGTTTTTCATTCTTCACTAATACTAGGCTTTTTTTCAGAAACTGCTGTACCTCAATTCTCTCCTCCTCCTCTCTTCTCTTTTCCTCTGCAAGTTGCCGCACCTGTCGTTTCCGCGCGGTCTGCTGCTGATCACTCTGGCTCTGACCCTGCTTCTGCTCCTGCTTTACATACCTGTTTCTTAGTAAATGAAGGTATTCTCTCTCAACTTTCTAACCACTTTCTTCCAATCTGTGCTTTATTCTAACAAACATGTTCTTTTTATCTGATTTATACATTCATCTGCTTTGTTATATATGAGATCCTAAAGTCGCTGTTTATAACTTTATTTGCTAATGTCAATGACAAGAGCCAGTTATAAAAATGTAACGTTACTGCTGGCTGGTATAAACCATGTTTCTTATGATCTAGAATGTTCTTAAACCAGTACAAAGACGGTAATATTTGATGCAAAGTTGATGTTAAAGGTGGATTGGTTGGTTTTCATGATAGCGTTTGCCATGTGATCTCTGGCATTAAAGGTAATGGATTTATTTTATATGTGTCATTACTTTGATAGACACATTTTGCTATCTTTACACAACTGTATGCCCTGGTTAGAGAGGAATATAAGGAAGTCTCTTAATTTACATTGTCATTTGAAAAGTATTTAAATTGATAATTGGCATCAGTGATTATAGTCTGATAGGGACTTACCTATTTATCCTCCTTAGTATTTCTGTTTCAGGCTGAGGCAAAAATCTATAATTTCAATTTTTAAGATGTAGTTGGGCTACCATATTATCCCTGTGGAGTTACACAAATGAAAAGTATTTTTGGAGCTTTGAAAAATGTGCATAGGGTCTACAAAACTTTTTCCACAAGACCTATCTGGGATTATTTGTACTGCCTAGAAGCTTAACGGAATTTGTGAGCTCTGAATTATATCCAGTCTTTGTTGCAGTGTCAGTCTTTAGCAGTTTATATAATATAAAAGAGGGCGTTTACAAAAGCTGAACTATAACTCGGAATGATTCTAGTTCTTCACTAAAAAGTAATATCACTAGTCATTCCAACAGAAGGAATGTTGCAATGTCTGTGAATTACAGAACATGGGTTGCAAGTTCCACTTCTCTGGAAAGAAAACATAGGAACTGAAAAGAGTAACTTCATTTTTGGTTTCTCTGTCATAAAACTGTGCTAAGATTTGTGCCTTGGATTTTAGGAAGAATAATTAGAGTCATATTAAGCTGTTGTGAAAGACAGTCATTTGTTAATTCAAAAAAAAATCTGTTAGGCTTCAGGCCTTGGTGAGAATTATAATATTAAAATTTAGTTCGTAAATATACTTCATATTTCTATGAAACATTAAAATTCTTTAAGAAATTGCTAGGTAATTTATATATATATGCACATGTATATAAATATGTATATACATAATAAATTATATCTCCCTGTTATAAATAAATTATAATCTAAAATATGTGTTCCTATCACCTTAATATAATTGCGTATTATCAGTTGATGAGAATTTCCTTATTGAAAGAATGAATCTTTAGGTAGGTGACTTGTCTGTCTCTCTACCCCTCACTCTTAACAATTCCATTGATCATTTTGAATTTTATGGTAGGTTTTTTGTCATTATTTTAGAAGACTACAGTTTAGGTTATTTCAAAACATTGATTTGCAAAAATTATATGTTCATAGATAACACACCTTGTAACATGGTAGTAGACTTATTTTTGCATCTCTTAATTATTTGTATTTAAATGTTATCCCCAGGATGTAATGTTAATTATTGTGGGTTAATAGTGGCCTCATACATAATTTGGCAAGAATGAGGCATTTATAGTGTATATATTTTTCAGACACCTTTAAAATAGGGTTGACATGATTATTCAAAAATGTCTGTATACTAGTACTTTTATGTATGATAGTGGTATACAGTGTGTGTCTTTTTCATATAATCAAGTTCCATATTGTGAATTCGAACTTTGGGAAAAGTAACTTTTATTCCCATAGATTAGAGTTAATGATTTTTAAGATTTTGTAAATCTTAGGTTTTTATTTTGTGAGACATCTGAATTCATTTTTTCTCTCAAAATTGGTGTTATGTTACTTGTAACAGCTATGATTGTGATTAAGTGTATGATGCATTTTGTAAGAAAAGGGCTCAGTAAGTACTTTAATTAAAGGCCCCCTGACAGAAAAGGGAAGACATCTCTTTTGGCTGACACAATGGCAACACACAGATGGCCATGCCTTAAGTGACATGAACGTATTTTTAGATATCTGTGTGAATACCCTTTTAACTGGCAGTGGCTTCAAATCTGTATTTCTAGTACAGCTTTATTTTTATGCTTTACTGTCCCTTAATATATGTTTTATTTTGGAGGGACTGTTTAGAAATGTATTTTCCTTGTCAATTGGATATACTTTATGTGGAAATTATTTGTCTTAAACTATTGAGAGTTTTTATAGGTATCAAATACATTATTTAGGGATGAAATGCATTGGATATAATTCTTCGTACAAAATACCTCATATTAAGTTGAAATCATAACGTAACTTAGCAGATCTGTCCTTTTTGGGTCCGTTTTTGGTATATTTACATAAAGAAAAACTTGTGACTTTGAGAATGCCAAAATGTTTAAAGTATTTATAATGTATTACATTTTAACAGGATGGAGTCAGTTAGCTGCTATGCACTGTGTTATGCTGCCAGACCTGCTGGGATTGGATAAATTTAGGCCTCCACTTCTGGAGATGCTGGCCCGAAGATGGCAAGATCGTTGCTTGGAGGTAATGTCAATAATAATGAAATAATATTATAAAGGCAATCATAAAAATAAAAAAAATCATCAAAGCATCAGTCAAATGTAAATTTGAAACAAATATGGTTAATGTTTAACTTATCAGCTGTTTATTATGTCATGGAAAATATGGATTCATGATTTCTATGTCTTTTTCAGTTTATATACTAACCAGTATTGTTCCAGCTTGTTTATTCATTTTTTAATCCAGTGACTGATTAAAAAAAATTTTATATACTTTATAGAACTATGACATTTTGGTTTCTATATACATCACACACACACATGCACGAAGAAATACATAAACCCACCTCCCCTAAAATCACAGGCTCAGTGTAATCACAGCCGTCAAATTCTAAGTCAATGGCTATAGTCCAATGGAAGATACTGTGTTATTGTAAAAGGAGAAGGTCTTAGAATTAGAAGAGACCTCGGTTTAAATATCAGTCCCACTAATTATTAACTTTGTGACCCTGGGCAATTTACTTAACCTATTTGAAGCTCATTTGTAAAGTGGGGATAATAATATATTCCTCATGGGATTGCTGTCAGGATCAAATAAGATAATGCAAGTAAAACAGTAAGTACAGAGTCTGACACGTGCTAGAAGCTCAATAAATGATAGTCATTATTTTGTGTTAATGGACTAATGCTATATTAGATATTACTCAGGGTATAATATCACCAGGGATAAGGAAATGTTTTATAGAGATTTTCCTTATTATGGCATTTGCTCTATATAGCTATAGCAGTTCTTACTATTCAAGATTTTTAATTTTTTAAATAATAGTTTTCCAGTAAATACTAGTAACATATTTCCCCCTTTTCTGGTTTCTCTTTACTCAACTCCAAGTGGGGTTGAAGAATACTAAAATTTTCATGGGTTTGTATTGAATAACATTTTGAATTCACTTCAAAAGTTACTTACATTAAAAAACAAAAGTTTTACTCAAACTTTGATTCAGATTGGTTAGTGTATCACTTAATATTGACTACCTTTGTTGACCTCATGCCTGTGGCGCTTTTGCCAACATCAAAATAAAACTAAACTAAAACTGCAAAACAAAAGGTGTATGCCACATTGAAAAAATGGATGTAATTTAGAAAAATGATTTTCTCTATAGAACTAAAAAAAGTTATGCCATTACACAGAAATACATTCGCCTATTTGTCAAAAACAAATTGTTTAAGCATATCTTAGGTACACGTGAATCATGTGAATTTATACCTATTTGTGTAAATAATACCTAATTAGCATACATAATATAAAGAAATTCAGTAGATATGGCTGAATTTTTTTGGTCTAAAAGAGAAAATTTTAACAGTAATTGTGACTTTAATAATATTGTTAATATTAATTATATATTATAGTATATTATAATGTGGAAATTTTAAACTTCAAATGCTACACTAAAGCTCAAGAATACTTAGAAAAATGAAGTTTTAAACCCAAAGTTGATTAAATGTTCAAACATAATTCCATCCATTAATGTTAAAATATTTCTCAGTGAGATCATTAATTAAGATGTGCTTGATAACTTGCTAGCATTCAGTTTATTCCTCTTTAAGTATTTAATTCATTATTTGGTTAGTAGTTTTTCTCATGTAAATAAATACGGTTTTTATTTTTTCTAGCTCTATTTCATTATGAACTTTCTAGTTTATAAATACCTCATCAACTGATCTGTTTTCTATTTTTACATTTGGATCTGTGATTTTCTTAGGTAAGAGAAGCTGCACAGGCTCTGCTTCTAGCAGAATTGAGAAGAATTGAGCAGGCAGGACGGAAGGAAACCATCGATGCCTGGGCTCCTTATTTACCTCAATACATGGACCATGTCATATCACGTAAGAGTTGTCATGCTTTTCTTTTCTACAATGTTTGTTTGTTAAGGATATGTGGAAAAGAACCCAAACTCACAGATATGTATGCTACTACCTATCAACAAAAATGAGTGGTTAACCTTAAAGTGAATAGAAAGGATCCTCAAATTCTGCTTTATTTTCTGACTCTCTATAGTTTGGCATTTGGTTAAAAAAAAAACAAAAAAAACCAAGAGCTATCTAATATCAAAATACCCATTAATGAACTGACCCCTTATAAAATTAATTTCCAATCAAATATCCTGTATTTAACACTAACATCTGTCTCTGCCCATGGCCTTATACTTGTGGATGCCAACTTGTTTAAATATTGATCTGATGATATGCAAGTGCAAATATACAATCCTTTTCCAGTTGAAGTTGGAATTGTGAATTCTTTAAAAACAAAGATCTGGTAGAGTTAGATCTGTGTATTATTGAAAAAGAGAAAAGTAGCAATGATTTTAAATAATGGGTCTTCCAAAGAGCATAATTTAAACATATTGGGAAAATTGTTAAAGTTTTCGAATATTTCTCGCAAAATAAAACCTTTGTAGTCATACTGCTAGGTCAAATGTACATTGGCAAAAGTTATATTGTGTTATCACAGTTCTTTTCTTCTCAGAAAAAGTGTGCCCATTCCCAATTCAGCATTTGACTAATTCTCTACTCTTCTATAAAATGTTTAGAAGTAAAATTTTAACCTAAATTATATTGATTATAAGATAAATTAGTTTCACTTTTTAAAGATTAAGTCTCAACAATATGTTTTAAAAAAATGTTTACTATGAAAATTTAGCCTGGGTTTTAGGTGGATTCATTTTAAATAATCTTTTGCTGATAGTCGTTATTCTCGGTAGTGAAATACTCATTACTCATGTCAAGATAGACAGTATATGATTGTACAAAAAGGAAAATGAAAACAAAATTCGGAAAGGGTCATAACTGTTATAACTGGTCTAACTCTACCAGATGTTTTGCCAGAGGTGACTGTAGTGAATATTTAGGCATGTGATCTTGGGCACTTTACTTAAGCTTTCTTAGCCTTAGTTTCGTCACAGATAAAATGAAGATGATAGTAGGACTTTATAGGGTTATTATGTGTAAGGAAGAGTTAATGTTTGTAAGTACACAGGACAGTACCTAGCCCATAGTAAGCACTCTATTTGTTAAATAAATACTGTATAATCTATAAAAATTCAAATATGTATTTCACATATAAACATCACACATTAACAACCCCAGTTAAAATTCTTAACTGTTTTGTAGTAGAATATGTACTCAGTGAATATTAGTTTACCTTTACTTACTGAAAATGTTTGCATTTTAATAATAGGAAATTAAATTTTGAAAACCAGGCCGGTAGACCCATGGACTCTATGTAAAACTAAAATAAAATGAGAATGTTTTTATGAAAAACAAAATTTTTTTTTTGAGACAGTCTCGCTTTATTGCCCAGGCTAGAGTGAGTGCCGTGGCATCAGCCTAGCTCACAGCAACCTCAAACTCCTGGGCTCAAGCAATCCTATTGCCTCAGCCTCCCGAGTAGCTGGGACTACAGGCATGCGCCACCATGCCCGGGTAATTTTTTGTATATGTATATTAGTTAGCCAATTAATTTCTTTCTATTTACAGTAGAGACAAAGTCTTGCACTTGCACTTACTCAGGCTGGTTTTGAACTCCTGACCTTGAGCAATCTGCCCGCCTGGGCCTCCCAGAGTGCTAGGATTACAGGCATGAGCAACTGCGCCCAGCCTTATGAAAGTATTGAGAAACATTTTTAAGACGTCATTTAGAGTGGTGGACTAGTGTGAAGTGGGGGAATGGATTGAAGTAGAATAAGTAGCTAGGGGACTATTACAGAAGGGGATATGAGATCCAGACATTAAATGTAAATAGGGTAAAATAAAAGATAACTTCTAACCCTTGATTTACTGATTGCATATAAAGGTCTAAGTAAAACACCACAGATTAGTACAGTGTTGTATTCTTGACAGTTTGGGAAGAGAAGGGCCATTTGCATTTGTAGTGGATGCCATTTTATTTTGTTCCTGGAAAGCATGAGTTAGTTTAGGGCATGATATAGTTACAAATGACATTTGTGGCATAGAAAGGCCTCTGTTGCTAAGCAAGAGGTCTGTTAGTGGGTTCAGAGAGGATAAAGTATAAGTAAAATAATACTGATACCTACCATTAATTGGATGCTTTCTCTGTGTCAGGCTTTTGCTAAGTACCTGGGCCTTGTTATTTCATTTAACCATTACAATAAACTTGGAAAGTAGGTACTATTGTCCTCATGCCTCCCCCCCCCCAATTCCCTACCCCTTTTGTTTCATTTCAGGTGAGTTAACTGAGGCCAGGAGAGATTAAGAAACTTTCTGAAGGCCCCTCAGTTACTAAGTGACTGTCAGACTCAAACATTCATTCTCTTAACCACTAATTATTCTATCCTTTCTGCTCCAGCATCCTTAGACCTAATTGAGAGTGGAAGAATAATTAGATACGGGGTTTAACTAATACTACTTTCAGACAGTGTCCTTTCCAGCCATATTATATTTAACAACAACAAAATAGAGCAAAAAAAAAATTGTTAGAATATTCCTCTTTAATGGTTCTCATCATCACTGCTTAAACCTAAGTTGGGTTGTTCTTAGGTCAAATTTAAACCTTTCTATTTATGTAATTAAGTCCTTTGTATTTAATTATAGTATCCTGGAGTACTTCATTATTAACTAAATGCTGGCTTACTTAAACTTTAAGCCTGTCAGTGACTGTAATTGTTTTTTTAGCAAAAGAATAAACAAACATGCATTGCACATGTAACTAAAACATCACACACTAACAACTCTTGATATAATATGTTAATCTTTTCTGGAACTTTTATACTGACTGAGTGTAAAATTAGTTTCAGTTTGCTTTTACTGGGAGCTTTCTATTTTAATAAAAGGATGTCAAGCTAAAGGAGTAGGGATTCTGAATGTATGAAAGGAAAAGAAAGCATACAACAAATGAGGAATGACCGCATAGGGCTGTTGAACAGATTTGCTGTCCGAAGGGATCAAAAGGTTATGGAGCCAGCTGGTAGACAGCCCACACCTGCCACCCACATGCTTGTACTGAAATCGCCTCCACCATTCTCACTAATGTTTAAGGAGATGATCATTGTAGCAGGTTACACTATAAAGCATTGTTTTAGGAACTTAAAACCTGTTTCCAGCATAGGAATCTTCTTAATCACAAAGTAGGCAAAATATTTAAGCAATAGATCTGGTAAACATACCAGTCATCAGATATTTTCTTATAATTTAATCTTTCGAAACATTTAAAAACTGCTGTAATTTCCTAAGCAATATTGGCAGCTCCTAACTTATGACTGAGCTTTGTCTCAGAGTGCCTTTATTAGGTATTTGCCTAAAACTCAGAAAATGCTCTTATCGGAAAAGTAGAATGCCATAGAGGGCTTTTGGACTGATAGACCTTCATCTTAGAGACTTGGAGTCAGAGGTTTAAAGTGGGATAGTAACTTTCTCTGAGTTTTTAGTCAGTAAATGATTGGGCTAGGAGTGACAATTCAAGTCAACTCATCTTATTGATTGAGATCTTCTGTATTTTATTTAGGTACATTATGCAATAAAAAAACCTGTCGCAGGTTTGAGCACCTAAGAAAAGTAATGGGTCAAAGCCAGTTGTCTGTCTCTGTCTCTCTCTCTCTTGATGGGGTCTTGCTATGTTGCCCGACTCGAACTCCTGAGCTCAAGGGATATTCCTGCCTTAGCCTCCTGAGCAGCTGGGACTACAAGTGTGTCACTGTGCCTGGCTCTGAGGACTCTTGAGAGCATTAAATGAGAAACTTTGTAAGGCTTCCAGCACAGTGCATAGTGCAAGCAGTGAATGTTGGCTGGCTGTCCCCCTCTTTCCTATACTGGTTTCAATAGTTTTGTTCTCCTTATTGCTGCTGCCTCAGAATTCACTTTAATTTATATGGCCCAGGGATTCTGGCAGTAGACTGGCGATTACTAGGAAGAAAAAAGGGCAGTAGTCTGCCTTAACTGTGAAAAGCCAATTCACAGATTTTTATAAGAATCAAGTCCTAATTGAGTGTTATAAGAATTTTGCTTCAAGTAACAGAGCTCTGTCCTTGACCCAGTCAGGAAACATTTCATCCTTTACAAATGTGAGCATATAAACTTTTGATGCCTAATTTCTGATAGAAAATTTGAGGATAAGTGCATTGTGATTCCTATTCTAATGGTAATAGGACTCAAACAATACATACTACATACATTTTTGTAATACTGACTTATATAAATATTTCAGATCTTGCCCGAGTCCTCTTTAGCATGTATATGTAGTCACTTCTATGTTCCAAAACACTTTTTAAAAATTCTATTGATCATTCTTACACAATAGGGATTAATTTTATTTTGTGAAACTGTTGTATTATAATTTGGGTAAAGATAAATGTTATGAGTTGTCTCAGAATTACTTTGAAGTACAGATGTTGCACAGAACCCAATTTTATGTATTTCTTATTTGTGACATTCTACATGTAGCATTTTGATAATTGACTTTTTTATGAGGTCAAGCACCTGCTGGTTTATGAAATACACTCACACTTGCCCTTCATTTCTGTCAGTGACTACTCGGAGGTAAATGCTGATGGTTCCTGATTTCCTTTGGCCTGCGATGCAGAGTGACCTTATAGGGCATGAGGTCACAAGCGTAATTATTTCTCTCACATTGTATTCCGCTTGCGCACAGTGGCTCATCTCCTCTTTTAGTTTCAGAAACATTAAACACATAAAAGTCACTACCATTATATAAATCAAAATCTCTTCTAAAGCGGGTACCATTGTAATTTTATGCAGTTATGGCCAATGTAGTATTAATTTGCAAATTTATCATCTCAGATATTGATAGAGGGATGTGTAACACATCGTGTTTAATACGTATTGATGTCATCAGAAAGCACAATCCTTTGTTC